GTCGCGGGACCCGGGCGGCGCTGCCCGCCGGGGCCGGGGTCTGCCCCCCTCCTCGTTACTAGCGTTTTGAACAAAACTGGGTGTTTTCCTGTTGCTCCTTTCGGCGTGAGGTTGCTGTTGGCCTCCCAGGGGGTGTATCGGTTTATATACCTGGGTGCTGTCCAGCGGGGCTTTGAGGCCAAAATACACGAACCTCTTAATATTTGGGGATGGGTTACACAAGAGAAAGCCGTTCTTCACAGACCTAGCTGTAAAAAAGGTGTTTTAAATCGGTTCTGAAACGAAGATTGTTATAGCGAGGAAGCAGGTACTGCCCTCAGCTAGGGATCGCGAACAAATCATCTGATATTAGCTGGATTTTGCCGGGATGTAGGCAGTCTCTCGGTTAGGCTTGTTTTTCGCCTGTTGTTCCTGTTTGTGACTTGTTCTGGTGTAGCACCTGTGTGGCATGTGAGGGCTGTTCTTCGAGAAGCTTTATTATACGTTTTGTTTTATAGAGAAGGTTTTAAAATCAATAACGGAGTACCCCGAAGGTATATTCGCCTTTCTGTTCAGTGGAGATTTCCGTTTCGGGTTCTGCCCAGGCTTTAGCTTCTTGTGTTCAGTCCTTCATTGCTCCCCTAACGGCCGCAAGTCAAGGGGGCCTGTAAAAATGCAACCAAAATACTCCGACTTGAAATTCCCACCTGAGTGTGGTTTTTTTTGTTGTTGTTGGTTTTAACTGGAGATTTTTATAAATTGGTATCCATATCATTTTATAGCCCTGTGAGTTTAATTTATACTAACCAGTCGTTGGTAACTGTTTGAAAAAAACTTAAATAACTTGGAGTGACTATTTATAATAGCTTCGTGTCAGATCGTATCAGCTGACCGGATCTGTCCCTAAATCTGAGTTCTGGATGCCTGGAGAATCGTTCGCGAATTCTATAAACTGCCTTTGGAAATCCTCCCCTGGACGCCCCACGGGAGAAGGCCAGTGTTGAGTTGCAGCTGGGTCGCGTTCGGCTGCCAACGCATACTGTAATTAGTAGTTTGGGCTCTGCGAAGTGATATTTATTGTTTTCTCTGGAGACAAGCAAACAGTAATGATGTCATTTAAATAATGAAGTCTGAATTCCCTACTACGATATAACTGATGTCATTGAAACTTATGTGGCAATAGGTCCTTGACGTGAAAAAAACAATTTGAAAGTTCTGACAGGAATTTGCAGAGCAGGATGCTTTCTAGCTCACTAAAGCTGAGGCCAAAGAGGCATATTGCCGTTAAAAGGGACAGTGATCTTAAGTCAGTTGTCTTGCTGAATGTTATCTTGTGGCATCATTACACTGGTGTGTCCATGTTACTTAAAAAAAATAAAAAATAAAAGAATATTAAATAGATCAGTTCCTATTTGCAAAAGCTGGGGATAGTTGCTTGTATTTTGCTGCCTCTGTTATTCCATGTCCTTATTCTGAGTGTTGAAGTTGATGGACTGGTGGGTTATCTGTAACTGCTACTTGTTTTTTAACTGATATTCTCAAAGCTGTGAGAAATGTTTGTAAAATAACTGCATTTGTTTCTAGAGAACGCAGCTCCTTGGTGATTGCGTCTCTGGCTGTGAGCTGTTTTCATGACCTCCTGGAATTATTCAGCTGCCTGCTGCAAGCCAACAACTGAGAAGCTCAAAACTGCGCTCCTGTATAACATCTTGATGCTGTTGTTGCTAATGGAGAGAAATAGGACTTGGTAGTTCACTTGGAGGCAAATTATTTGGAAGAAATAACTTAATTGGGATCCAGCTCGTTTTTACCATGGACTCCTCGCCTGTCCAGCAGGATGTTCTGCTGGAGAACCGAAGCAGCAGTGAGGCCCCTAGCAAGTCTGAAGAACTTCTGGATCGTAAAGCTGAATCAGATTTGCCAGTTACAAGAGATGAAATTAACAGTAAGTTATTTCATATGCCCTGAATCATTTCCTAGTCTTATCAAGGTTTCTTTACAATAACCTATTTTGTTGTTCAGGTGATGTTGCAGGTTTTTTTTTTTTTTTTGGGGGGGGGGTTTCTTCATAGTCAGGAGTTTTTTGTACATCGTAGATTTTTCAGAAAATCTGATGAAAGCTATGTCTCTGTGTTTTGGAAAACTTTTTTTTTATTTTAAAACTTACTCTTCCAAAACAAAACCAAACTATTAACTTGAATACTATCAGCTGTCAGTTATATATGTGCTATGCAGCCTATTACTGTGTCTTCTGGAAGTGTCTTCAAGGGTATGTGCCTGCACATGTTTAAAACTAACAATTTGGAAAGGATTGTTGCCGAGTAAGCCCATGAATGGAATTTTTTATTCTGGAATAAGAAATTTTCCAGATAAGTGCCTTAGGTAAACATTAAAATGTACCCCAAAAGTCTCAGCTTTCACTTATGGAAGAGAGATGCTGGCTTGTACTGCCCAATTTATTTCAAAAGAACTTACATATGTAGACAAGTTCTATAATTTAAAAAAAAAAAGTACCTGTTTACAAGAAACTTAAGAATCTGTTGATCGGAGTAGACTGTAAAATTATAGAAAAATTTAGGTCAGAAGGGATCTCTATAGGTCATCTAGTCCGATCTCGCGCTCAGAGCAGATCTACCTTCCGAAGCTGGATCAGGTTGCTCAGGGATTTGTCCTCCTGAGCTCTCAGACCCTCCAGAGAGGGAGATTCGATAGCCTCACTGTGAAACCTGTTCTGTTCTCGTTGTGAAAAACTTTTTCCTTGTATTGAATTGAAATTTCCATGTGTGAAATACAGGTCTATAAGGATATGTTGGTAGGTGAGTGGACTGATGTATATATGTAGCGGCTGTGCAAATATACAAAATCATACAGGTTCCTTATATGTAAAGGGAACTTTTTTGTTGACTGGGAGGTGATCGTGTGATGAAGTCATTAGTCTTGCACCCTCCCCGCATGCTGCAGATTTGTCATTTTGTCACAGGCAAATAAGTGGATTCCTGAGGCTTTATTTGCATTTGTCATGCTGCCCTTTATCAGACTGGCAAAGTGTAGTTGTGTGATGATTCATTCATCTTTTATGAAGTTGGAGATCACAGTGTTTCCTGACCTTCCTGTGTTGGACCTCTTCCAAACAAATGAGTTGTGCCTTTCAAATAGGCAATATGTCTTTCTGTTATTTCCAATCTAATTGCATCTCCTCCCCCACTGTTCTAAAAAGCTTTATTGACACTGCTGCAATTAAGTTACTTTAGTTCAAGGCAAGATGTAGATCCCGAACGCCTCGTGGCCTTGGGAAGTTGTCAGGAAGGCATTCCTCCAGAATTTTGCTCCAGAATGTCTTTTATATACATATACCACTTGCAGTTGTGAGGGTAAAAACATAAACGAAGCATAAGCTTAGTGTAGTAAAGTCTGCAGTTTCAGAAAGACGGGCAGAACTGCTGTTGCTAAATACATGAAGCGTCGTCTTATTCCTGGCATTCTGTGGCTATTCCTAATACTCACCTCTTGAATTTACTTTTGGCAGTTTAATCTGCAGTGTGACCATGTCTTCAACACTGACTTACATTGCTTAGTTATTAGAAGAAATAGTCCCTTTCTCTGTCCTCCTTTGCATCCTTGTACCCGTCCCTTCCCTCCTGTCTGCACAAGTGTTTTTGTGACTGCGTGGTGAACTGAAGCAGAGAACTGACTGATCCAGGTTTAAAAGGCCTTGAAATGTTTTCAGTGTGAAAATGAGATATTCAGAAGTATTTTAATTCAAAACTTAGAGAACTGTTAGGTTTTGTCAACCTAAAACTGAAAAATTCTGATTTTTTTTTTAACCTACATTTGGTTTTGTCATTCTGAGCCCTGTTTGCTGGTTCACTATACAAATGCCTGTGCTGGCTCAAGGGAGGATGCAGGACAGAGGCGGGACGAGAAGGCTGAAGGTGGGGGAAAAAAAGGACAGGCTGGCCTTACTAAGTACTGTGTGGCTATGACCTTATTTGATGAAGTTCTTCATTACTAGCTCAGAAATCTGAGGTATTTCAAAGTGAAAATGCGTTGTTACATGCCTTCACTGGTCAATGTACACGTAACACCTGGACATGATGCTGATCACCATGATTATTAAAATACTGATGCTCATTTTAAATGTGTGAAGTGGTAATTATGGGTTAATGTTAGAAAGAGCTACATGTAGAATTTTTAACATGTCGTAGCAGGGTGGCAGATGAAGTCAGTTCTATGAAACGAGCTTATAGAAGTGTTTGGGTTTTTTTTTTTAATTTCTATATTGGTGTAAGCCCAGTAATAGATGCAGTTGTACTGGGAGATCAATGTGACTGCTGCTTTAGCTTTTTGCATCTGGAGATTCAGGGTAAGCTGTTTTGTCCATATAAAAATTATATATAGCCATATAAACCTATATAGTTTTCACTGCATAACTGTAACTGTAAACTGCTTTTCTGTAGAGTAGGCTCAGGATAACCCAGGATATTTCCAGTAATCAAGTTCTGAATTGCTAAGAGTACACATGGATTCTTGCACTATTTAAACAGTTAAATTCAATAAAACATTCTTTAAAAAGCAAAAAGGAGGGTTTTTTCTTTATTCTGTAACAGTGAAATGTTATCTTTTGCTTGACAATAGCTATGAAACATTAAAAATTGTTTTATTGTATATTCCACCTAGAGTGCTTCATTTAATTCAGCTTAACCAAATTTCATTTAATCTCTTTTTAGTCAATTTACTTATCCTTTCCTCTTTAAATTACTCCGAAGTGTAATTTGACAGTAGTAAAAGGAAATCTTTTGCTTTAAATTTAAAAAAAAAAAAAAAAAAAGCAGGAAGCTCTACTTTCCTACCTGTATTTTTTTATAGGCTTATTTAACTTAACTTCAGAGATGCACTCTAATGCACTTTCATCACATACACGAACTATAATCTTTTCATTTTCCGTTGTTCTGTTGTCAGAAGTTTGTAATGATTCATTTTATGAAAAAACAGTTTAATAGCATTATGTTAATAGATTGATGTCTAAAACACTAATGATTTTTTTAATCATTGTATTCAGCTGCCTAGCTATAGAAGATTTCTGTGTATGAATATTAAAACAGTTTTGAGAGGATCTTTTCACTAATTGAATGTTTCTCAGTTCTGCTTTTTCCCCTCACCTCTACTTTGTGTGGATCTTTTTCTTTAGTTCTTGAGTCATCTTTTCATTGTTAGATGTGTTCTTTTGATTCATGTAAGATGTTCTACTGTATTTTTAATTGCAAACGTTCTCTCTGAAAACTTTAAAATTCTGGCAGTGCTGCCTGGCCCGTGCGGGAAGCAGCGGGGGCAGCGCGTGTTCTCCGGTCTCCGGAAACGTACCAGAGCCGAATTGTTCTCCCCAGTCCCGCGGTTGCTGAGTCTTATTTGTAGTAGACTGCTACTGCTGAGATTGCATTACTTACTTTCGATGTTTAATGCTGCTAAATCTAAGAAGGTTTAGAAACCCACGTGAGGCTTTGAAGATGCTTTATGAGGACGTTTGAGATAGTGCTTGAAGGCGCTGCAGTGGAGCACAGTATGGCTTTTTGTTCTGTTCTTTCTAAATGAAGGTATAAAAGTCCCTTATAAAATTCCCTTTGCTGATAGCTATCATTAGCAATTTGTATGTTCTTCCAGACTGAGGGCAATTGTGTTAGCATTGTATTGGGGTGGAGGGGCAAAGCTAAATGGGGTGTCTTACGGCGTAGCTCAGTGTAACTTTCTCTTCCAGCTGCCAGTATTAATGTCAACAAAGTGCCAAATGAAGAGGGAAGTCTGGAGATAAACAGCAAAGGTGAAGTCTGCCAGAATGGGCCAGAGTCACTCTTCCCCGACTCTCCTTTATCTTTTGATGCCACCAGCAGTCTGCAGGGTCAAGAGCCATCCCCAGGTGTGGCTGCTTTCCATGGCAACCTAAGGAAGTCTCAGGGAACTAGTGCTGAGGGCATAGTTCTTAGAAAAGAAGCTTTGCAGTCTCTCAAACTAAGTCTTCCCATGCAAGAAACTGAATTGTGTAAGCATCTGTTTACAGTAGAGCCCCTGCTTTCTCTTGCTGCATAAAGCTTTTTACTCTGAGCCTGTCTGTAGAATCCCTATGAGATCATTTAAGCTTGGACTAAACTCCATTTTTGCAGTAAGCCTTTACTTTGAACTAAAATTCATTTTCTTTCAGTAAGCCACTCTCTGCTGCAATTAAAGCACGTGCCTTAACATTTACAAATTATGCTGGAGGGGAATTTATGCTTTCGGGGATTGGAGCTATTCTAATCTTTTTGATTATCAGGAGTAACAGGTGACATTAAAAGAAAATGGGCAGCAGAACCAGGTGGTTGTAAGCTGAATAGTAAAGGGGGAAGCCTTTCTGGTAAGATGTCCAAGGCTGCACGAGTTTCCAAAAATAGTAATAATGTGTTTAAACAGCCTTACTGTTTTAAAAGGCCTTACTATTGCAAAGATTTAATGTGAGCTGACAAAAACATAAGAAAATATATCTAGGGAACAGTCTTTCTTTGACCTAAAAGGGATAAGTAAACTGCATAGGTCTTACTCAGTTTTATAATTTCACTTCTGTCAGACCTGCAGACCAGGTGTGATTAGATGACAGCAATAGCCTTGGTCTTGCTGTAGAATCTGTCTTGGATACTTGGAGGAACTACAGCATTTGTAAACTGAAAAGTTAAAATACACAGGCTTTATCAATGCTTACACAAGGATGTATTAGAAGAGGGTGTTCTGAGGTGCATGCTCAAGGCTTTCCTTGCGTGTCTGGCTTAAGCATGAAGCATGTTGCTGATGGTGACAGGGGCTTGTTTTTGCATCAAATTTGTCTGTGTTGAAGTTTTCTGTTTGACTGTAAAGGTACCTTTTCCTTACAGGCTCAGTAGAGTCTTCGCTTCCTTTGGAGAAAGAAGAACAAATAAGACTTCAAGCAAGAAGACGGCTAGAAGAACAGCTCAAACAATACAGGGTGAAGAGACACCAAGAAAGAGTGAGTACCGCTCACTAGAAGTTCTAGATTCCATGTGTTGCTGAGAAGCTTGAAAAATGTATCTTCTCTGTGCTCTAAATTACTGTTTTTCTGAGCTTTAAATATTCAGTAGCTTTTTTCAACTGTGAGAAAGCATTTTCCTCTTCTCTTCTCTTTTCTTTTCTTTTCTCTTTCTCTCTGGACATGCAAAACTTGGCTCTCTGTTACCTCACTGGAATCCGTGCTGTTTTCGGCAGCTCATCTCAAAATAGGAAAACAAGTTTAACAAACCTAAAGTTTAAGAAAGATTAAAAATAATTATTCCAAGTCCAAGTTCTCTAATCTTCAGTTTTCCTATGTCTTTCAGGTAGCTTTTAGTCTACCTTGATCATTTTTCAACATGCTTTTATTGAGCTTTGACAGGTTTATTGCTGATGTAGTTTACCTTATTTACGAAAAGCTACATAAATTTAAGTATTAATATAAAAGAGAGTTTAAAGCTTTGCACCTTAAAAGTGCTATGGCAGAATAAGCCCTTCATGCTAGTTCAAATGTAATATTCTGGAATTTATTGTTCACTCTTGGTTTCTTTTAGTCTAGTCAGTCTACATCCAAAAACCGGCCTTCCAGCACGTTGGATCCTGAGCTGATGTTAAATCCAGAAATCTTGCCAAGAGCTAGCACTGTAGCGATGACAAAAGAATACTCCTTTTTGCGGACCAGCGTCCCCAGGGGGCCAAAACTGGGTAGCTTGGGACTTCCAGCATCCTCAAAAGAGAGAAGAAGTTCAAAATCCAAGTCCAGTAAGATCCGGTCCTTGGCTGATTATAGAACTGAAGATTCAGACTCTAGAAACGCTACGAGGAATTCGATGGCGTCTGATTCATCTGGTGGGACTCTGAAACAAAGCAGAAGTGGTCCAACCTCAGTTGTTTCTGAGATTAGTCAGCTGTCTGACATAGACGATCGAATAGAGAATTCCTCTTTAGCAGGAGATAGTATTTCAGAGATCGATGGGAGTGAAGCGGGAATGAGGCTGGATGGAAACGAGAGCGACAGCTCTACCTACAGCAGTGTGTCAGGAAAAGGCCTGTACAGCAGTTTACAGAATGCAGAAGACAAACAGGGTATTCCGTATACAATAAATGGTCAGAAGATACATCCTGATGCAATGGGGCAATTTCCTTCCATCAGTGAGGTGCTACAGGCTGCAGCAGTGGAGCATCAAGCCCAAGAGCAAGAAGTTAATGGGGAAGTACGGAGTAGGAGAGACAGTATTTCTAGCAGGTAAGAAAAACTGTTGTACAGTGAGGCCATTACTATACATCATTCTTCTCTGGAGTAGGCATCCTAAGCATCAGTCTTGTACTAACATTAGATCTAGTTTTAACTTGCATCCATTCTGATCAAATTTCTTTTTGTTTTTTGACTTAGAGATTCTAATAGTAAACAGTAAATAGCTATTCAGTGAAGTGGTCGTTCAGTTTCTATTTACTAGATATGTCTGTATAGAAAGATATTTTTTGACACTGATAGCATATGTTAAACATTCTGATAGCAGCCATTTCTGTCTGTATTTACTTGTGGAGTAGACATTCATTCACTGATTCACTGACATGGCATTGATCTTTAAAGTCTGTCAATAGAGACATAACTGGCTTAAGAAACAGTGATATTTATTGTGATCGTTTACCTGATCTATGCACGTATCTTTCAGACCCGGAGTACTTAGGAGATGCCAAGGGTTTTATCCTAGATAGTCTTATCCTCCTCAGCCCTTTAGTTGGAGGATAGTCTTATCCTCCTCAGCCCTTTAGGATGAGATCAACTCTTAGTCACGTAAGCTTATGTGTATATGATAGGTGTTAAGATGTCATCAGGCTCTCTGTTACGAGACAGTGTTTATATAGCGAGTGGATGGCTGATGGAGCCCTGAACAGTGCAGTTGTTCTTTCATCGCTTGGCTGAAGATGCAGTGAATTCAGTGTTTTATACATGATAATTTTGAAATTACCCTTTTCTGTTCTTCTTTGGGGTAAAATGTAGTGCCCAGAGATGTTCGGGTAAAATCAGTTGACAGACTATCCCAGTGTAGACTTAATTCCTATTATGAGGAATGAGGGAGAAGAGAAGATTCTCCCATTTTCTCTGGACTCCTTGGTTATATGCTGGGGAAGGAGAATAAGAAATCCCTTATGCCAGATACCTGTTCTTGTTTTGCACTAGCTCTCAGGCGTTTTCGCATTAATGCGGACTTTGTGCACAAATAGCTGTGGAAAGTGCTTAATCAATGGAGATTTTGTGTTCTACTGTGTCTGTGTTTCTGTTTATACGTTCTGTACCTGCACATCCCTTTAATGAAGTCAAACCACAAATACATGGTTGCCACAACAGCTTCTAGTTGTTGCAAATCTGGGAAACTAGTATATAAAACCTAAGTGTAAAGGTAATTTCTTCATCTCTTTGGATGGAAATGAAGGTTGTTTCACTATGTTCTGGATGCATCATAAAGCCAGAAAAAAATGTCCCAAATTCTAGATCATGTGAGAAATAGGTTATCTTGAGGAGTCTGAACGTCTCTTAATTTCAGCTTCGCTTCTCTTCAACTAGATTAGGGTTCTATTCTAACCACCTAACTGTATGTGATGTCTCTGTCTCCAGTGTATCTATGGAAAGCTCTGTCGCAGGAACTCACGACGAAATGTTGCAGGTCCTAAAGGAGAAGATGAGACTTGAAGGGCAACTAGAAGCACTTTCACTAGAAGCTAATCAGGTAGAAAATGAATTTGAATTTCTGTATTTAGCAATTTATGTTAATATGTTAATTATGTTTTTCAAGAGCCTACCCTTTACTGACAGGAGTGTGTTTTGTAAAAATGTTGTTGAATAAGGTACATCGAAAGGATGCTTAAGAAGATAATTTTTAAGTCTCTGAAGTCTTCTAAAGGTTTAAAAGGGCAGAAAAAAAAGACAACAGGACGAGTGAAAGAAAGATGATAAATCCAGTGTAATGTTACCAATGTCTAGTTAGCCGTTTTCTTTGTGTTGACTGACGATATAACACATACAATGCAAAGCATTCCTACCTAGCGTGGAAATGCCTGTCTTATGTGCCGATACCACGTTCGGGTTTTTACTAAAGTTGCTATACATCTTATGCTTTCCTCTGTATTTTCCTTGTATATTTGAAAAAGTGAGGTATCACTTTTTAAAATCATTTTACAGACAAGTGGTCTTCACCTTAGCAAAACCTTTTTCCTAAACATCTGTATTAGTCAGCCATTAATGTATTTGCCTCTTTTCCTAATATACTAATGATAACTTTCTCCTGAGACTTCTGTATTTAATTTGTGGGACACATTCAGGCTCTCAAAGAGAAGACTGAGCTACAAGCGCAGCTTGCAGCTCTGAACATGAAGCTTCAGGCGCAGATGGAGCACAGCCAAAACAGCCAACAGAAGCAGGAATCTCTGAGCTCAGAAGTGGCCACGTTAAAGCAGTCTTGCTGGGATCTGGAACGAGCTATGGCTGACCTGCAAAACGCCTTGGAAGCAAAGAATGCTAGTTTGGCTTCTTCAAATAATGATTTGCAGTTGGCAGAGGAGCAGTACCAAAGACTCATGCTGAAGGTTGAAGATATGCAAAAAAATGTTCTCACCAGAGATAGCACAGGTGGGCTGATGTAAATGTGAATCTTTATCATTCCATAAATCATTTTATTTCAACAAAATTCAGAAGTCCAAGAGCAAGAAGGAATTTAAACCTGCCTTTCACTGATACCATATCAATCAAATGGTCTGCATGGTATGATGATGGCTTTCTATTTTGTGTCACAGAGGTGCCACCATTTGCAAGTCACTGCCTGCAGGGGACTAGTCTAAAAACTGTGTGCGAGTGGACTCACGATTTTTAAAAATGCTACAAATATTGGTTTGTAATGATGAATTTACATGTCAGAATATGTACTTTCTGATTTTAAAGTAGTTCAGTTTTTTTGCCGCTAAGGAACTTTGAACGCCTAAAGAAACGATTCATTTATTTAATTTTTGTTCTGTTTATAACCCTGATGCTGGAATTCCAGCATTTTCCCTCACTTCTGCAGGAACAGACAATCCTGCATGTAATTATGCACATACCTTTTTTTTCCCTCCCTTTTTTGAACCAAAGCACATGAATATAGCAATAAGCCTTGAAAATACTTGGATAAAAATAGAACCATGGAGTATCGTAGTCTGAATTCTTTTTCACTTTCTAGTTCATGATTTGCGACAGCAGTTGGCTTCCTTACAGAACCAACTTCAGAAGGTGCAGTTAGAACGGACTACGCTGACCAATAAGCTAAAAGCATCTGAATCAGAAATCTCATCGCTCCAAAACGTGCGGCAATGGTACCAGCAGCAGCTGATACTAGCACAGGAGGCCCGTGTCAGGCTGCAGAGTGAGATGGCCAATATACAGGTATTATGACTTACTCGCACATAGGACTGAGAATCTTTTCTTCTGTATGTTAGTTTTATCGAGAGGACATTGTTTATGAACTTCAAGGGAGCCAGTCTCTCTTGCGCGTTCTTCAGGTGGAGAACAGGGGATTTTTTTTTGTTCGTTTTTCATAATGAGGTGTTAGTTCATACTGTTGCTGAAGCATAGATTTAATCAATATCTGTATAGCCATGTAAATAGTAGCTGAGATAAGGCACAGATAGATTCAACGTGCTTTTTTTTCCTGGAAATCTCAAATTTGTTGGCCAAATTTTGACTGTCAGAATTAATCTGTCATTTCTTTCTTCCTGCAGGCTGGGCAAATGACCCAAGCAGGTATGTTGGAACACCTCAAGCTAGAGAACGTAGCATTGTCTCAGCAGCTGACCGAGACCCAGCACAGATCTATTAAAGAAAAAGAACGTATTGCAGCACAGCTGCAAAACATTGAGGTAAGGTTGTAAATGACCTGCAGAACATTGAGGTTGTAGGTTATCTTCATTAATTAGGTTTGGCTTAGGTATTTAGGGTTTGCGAGCACTGTGTTTGCAAAATGAAAGACTTTCCAGCAAAGTGGCATTGAATTCTTATGAATCAATTCAAATGCTGTAAGTCTTTACCAATTGGATGATCTGAAAGTACCTTCTTTGAAATTAACAGAGTTTTGATGTTTAAAAAAGTGATTGGTTTCTTTAGGCTGAGTACTTAACTACTCATAGCCACTTTTGAAGGTCCTAATATTACTCTCAGTTCTGTGGTGACAAAGAAGGTAGAATTTTAGGCTGGGAGTTGAAGTAGGTCATGCATCTGTAAAAAAAAATTTGAGAATTGGCTAACAATGGTGAATGAGGAAAGTGGCTCACGTTTCAGTCACTTTGTTGTGAAAGATGCATTAAAAGATCATGGTTATAAATTGTTTGTAGCAAAAAAAATAGTAACCAACATACTAATCCTTATTTTTGCATTTCTAACACTATTGCATCTTGTTATTATTGTGGCTGCTTTTAAAAACAGTAAATGTTTCAGAGCTAATTAGTTTCCATGAAATTCAGAAATTCAGCAAATAGTAAGAAGAGGCAAGGCCATATATTTCCTATTTCAAGGTGATGCTGCTTCTTTTCAGATTTGGTATTTGTTGTTAACTGAATTTTAAAAGTGTGTATAGATGTTCTCTTTTGCACATTCATGGACTTGTTAGAGAGAGAACTCTTACTTCAAAGTTAACCTAAGTCAATAAAGTCCTTTTTAAATGTATGAAGTTGCTCATTACTCAAGTTTATCCTTCCTGCTCCCCAATAAGAAAAGATGATAGGAAACACAATACGCTCACTTTCAAGGCACTTGGACCTTAAATCCCACTGAATTTCAGTGAAACAGTGTGCATAACCAGAATTTCTATTTCATAGAACAGCTGCAGCATCCAGGGAATCTCTTTTGCTTCAGCATTTTCCAAAAAGTTGAATTTTAGTACTTTAAAGATTCTTTTTATTCACGTCTTGTTTCATCAATTTAGGAAGGACATAATGTTGTTTAATGGGAATTCGGGTTGTTGCCAATATACAAAATATTCTCTGTTATTCTAAGGTTTCTTAAATATATGAGTGGATGTCTTCCTTAATGATATACAGATGTATAAGGCAAACATCAGAATTATGTTTCCTTTTCTCTTTTTTTTTTTTTTTCCCCCTCCAGAAATCTTGATATTTTATTTTCTTTTATTCTTTTCCTCCCTGCCCCTGCACTGATGCTGTAAATGTCAATTCCTTGTTTTTTCTGTGCAGGCTGACATGTTAGATCAGGAAGCTGCATTCATGCAGATCCAGGAGGCTAAAACCATGGTGGAAGAAGACTTGCAGAGAAAACTAGAGGAATTCGAGGATGAGAAAGAACAGCTTCAGAAAATGGCTGATAATGCAGCAACACTGGAGCAAGAATTGGATCAGGTAGGCTCCTGGGCATTGCCCTAAGGGTTTTAAGGGAAATATTTATCTGGCTGAAAAGGCAATAGTAAACACATGCTGAGTTCTAAACTGTTTTTAAACCTTCTGAAAGATTGCTGCAGAGGTGAAGTGCATATCCAAGTCACTCAGTCCCAGGTGAAAAGACTCTCTTTCTGACCATCAACCTTAAATGTCATATGATACCTTCCCTTTTACCTCAGTAAAGGTATTTTTTGATATTTCAGAACTATTATCTTGTAGGTGTTATATTTATTAGTGAATTCAGTATGTAATTATTCTATGTTTAGACAAGAAACATCCATTTTAAGTCTTCTATTAGTATAGCATTATATTCACTTAACGAGTATTAAATTTGCACTGTACTGCAGAGTCCTGATTTAACCATGTAACAGTACAAAACTAGTATGTCAAGACCTGGAATAAATTAAATTTGTGATAGCTCAATATTATATAGTCCATGTAATTACATGGCATTATCATTAGTAACACTGAACTTATCTTGTATATCCTCTGTGGATGGTTTTGTTTTTTTTTTTCTTTTAAAACAAAGCTTAGAATACTGTGAATTTTACTTAATGAGATTTTAGGTTTCTCATATTGATTGTTGCTTGGCCTGTAACAATGCAAATGCTACACGAGGCAATCAGTGCAATTAGCAGAGCAAATGTAAGACATGACCTAGGAAAGTTAGGAATGCCTTCACCTTCTGTTATTTTCTCCTAGAACCTCAGGGACAGTTGCTGTTTTCCATTTTACTTTTGTTGAAGTGCGTTTGCAAATGCAGAGTTCATTTTATATGAATTTAACCTTAAAATACTTTTTCTCAGATCAAGGTGACCTTGCATCAGCGAGATTTGCAGCTTGAGTCTTTACAGCAAGAACATCTAGATCTAATGAAGCAATTCACCCTAGCCCAAGAGACATTGCACGCCAAAGAGCAGTCGCTGGATGACCTGCAGACGCGGTATGATGAACTGAAGGCCAGATTAGAAGAGCTCCAAAGAGATGCTACTTCTAAAGATGACATGATCCAGTATTTACAGAATGAGAAGATTGTCTTGGAAGTAGCTCTGCAGACAGCAAAAGCAAGCAAAGAGCAACTTGATGAAGGAGCAAAATGCCTTGGAGAAAATACAGAAGTAGCATCAAAAACCTTAGAGCAACTGAGGCAAGAAATAGCAGTCAAGTCAGGCCAGGTAATGAATCTCTGAAAGTATCCTATTAAAAATAGTTGTTGCAATGAAGTATTGCCAGAGGCACATGAGAGAGCCAAGTACATGAGAGGAGATTTGTACACTTGATGTTGAATGCGTGATTTAGCTAGTGGGACTATTTTAATCAATTCTGTAATGTTTCCCTGTTGGTAGACTGACTCTTTATATTCTGTTACATCATTGGGATGTTCAGGTTAATATCGCACAAATGCGTATAGATACAAGTGATATGAGATGGGAAGCTGAGGTTAATTGATCTTATTCCTTTTGTTTCCAAGAACCACTATCTTTCTAAAATATATCAGTTTTAAAAGTAATCATTCTGAGTACATATCCCGCATTTTTTGGAAGTAACTTTTTAATGTGCTCCCTTTCTGTGGCACCATTGCTTTTTCTTTTTGAAGAAATATGGTCTTGTTTAGGTGTTTTATTCCGAAACTAGTAGGTTTTACTTTTGTATATTGCTGTATACCAGCTGAGTAGGTTCCTCCCCTCAGTCACGGAACTAGCTTAGTGGATCAAGCCTAATGCATACCCTTATTCTTTCTGTGACTGCTTTAAATTATTGTGAATCTTTATTTCACACCCTACTTTCATAATCAGGCTTGTTCTGTTAGTTTTAGAGCATCTAAGCTCTGTAGTTCTAGTAATCTTCAAAGAGATTTCTTTTGAAGATAACACTGGGATTTGATAGTATCACCAACAGAAGTATGAAGTAACTGTGGAAGTACGTTTAACATAAAGATTGCCTTTTTCCTTCAAAGGACCAGCTGCTTTCTTTGTTTGACCATGTATGTGTGAACTGGTGCCACCTGAATACAGCATATGTAGATTAACAATACGTACTAAAACTTTAATGTCAGGATAAGGGGATGTTATATTCCTGAGGAATACTTCCTCGCTGTCTGAAACTCATTGTGCAAGTCTACTGTGACTTGATTTGTGTGGATTTATTTAGCTATGAAGTGTGTTATCTTGCTGTGCTACTGAGATGTCTACTCAGAAACAAGGTTCTCTGTCACTGTTTGAAATAATTTAGAGTACAACTAAAGCAATTTGTCTTTTTTTTTTTTTTTTTTTCCTTCCCCTCTGGCAGGTAGAAAATCTGCAACAAGAGAATACCAGTCTTAAAAAACAGGTTCAAAAAGTGAAGGAACAGTTCCTACAGCAGAAGGTAAGCAAAAACAAACTATTTCAAAGAACTGAAAGTGAACAATATATTTACTATAATGAAGGCACGTACTTCTGAAGGCTTTGCTGGGGAAGTTTGAATTAGTTATCTGTATCAAATACAGAGAATGTAGTGACATAATTTAGGGGTTTTTTTGGCTTGTTTTACTTTAATTTTGAGAAGACAGTTTAAACTGCCAGTCGCAGTTAAGCCCTCTTTTTATGGCAAAAAGGAATAATTTTGTGCCCATGATAGTTACATTTTTATTAGTTCAGTTTAAAAATTGCATAAAATGAGTACAATCCCATAAAGAAAGTGAAGAAGAGTACACCGTACTTCTGTAAACACTCAAGTTTTTTTATGAACCGCTGATACTTGTTATTTGATCTCTGAGTTTGCATAAAACTCTTTGAACCAGAGTAAAAATGTTAACGATGCGGTTTCTGTATTCTTTGACTCTAAAAGTAGAGTAGTATCAATAAATGCTTTACAATAAATTCTTAAATTTGTGAAGTTGTAACAGAGATGACGTTTTCTTGAAACTCTTGTGTCCTAGGTAATGGTGGAAGCTTATCGAAGAGATGCAAGTTCTAAGGACCAGCTGATAAGCGAACTGAAAGCTACGAAGAAGCGGCTGGACTCGGAGATGAAAGACTTGAAACGAGAACTACTAAAACTTCAAGTTGATAAACAGTCGCTGGAATCCGAACATTCAAAACTGCAGAAGGAAGTATCTCAGGTTCACCAGCAAATGTTGGAAATTGAGAATCATCTTCAGTCGGTGCAGAAGGAACGAGACGATATGGAAAAAAGCCTACAGGTCTGGAAGTTGTTAAGCTTTGAACTTCTAGAGAGCACTACATGCAGGATATGTTGCTACTTGTATTAATTTTGGAAATAAACTGATTGCCTGCAAGTTATGGTTCTTGGTTATGTATTTAATATTGTGTATATATAGTTGAGCATGTTCCTACTGAAATTTTATGATTACTTGACTGCTTATTAACATAACATGTCAGGCAGCAGCAGAAGTATGTTACAGGAGCAGCAGGTGTGTGATGTGGAAACAGTCCCAAAGTGAACACTCAGTATTTATTAGCAGGGACCAAAATAAAGCTCTGGGCACGTGTGTCATGATGGTGGCCACAGAGGAAAGAATTAAAGAAGAAATAAAAGGGGATGAGAAGGGATATGGAGAACCCTGAAATAGGTGTTTTCTTCTCACAGTTTTTATGTGGATAGAAGTCATTTTGAAAATTCATGCTGGAGTTGAACTAGAATTTGCCATGAATCAGTAGCTAAACATAGTAAATGTTATTTTATAATCTAACATTAGCAAACATACAAAGATGTCTTTTGTTCTTACTCTCATCTTTTTTTTTTTCCCCTTCCCGTTAAGTCCTTGCAGTTTGATAAGGAACAAATGACATCTCTTGCTGAGGCAAATCAGGCATTAAAACTACAAGTAGAACAAATGCAAGAAGAAGCCAAAAAGTAAGTCTGTTCTTTCAGCATAGACAAAAGAGAACTATAGCATTTATTTCTCATATTCACTTTTTAAGCTTAGTCTTTTCCTATTCCTTAGTCACTCATTTTGGAAAAATTAAAGAACATCCTGAAGACCATGACAGTGTGTTACTCAGGAGTTCCATCTTCTCTTCTGATACGTTCATGCTTTTAACTAACAACATAAGCCATTCAACATATATATTATGTTAACTTCTCATTAACATATTTACTGGAGCTAATCCTGGTTTCCATTCTCTGAATTTTAGCCATGACTGGCTAGAATGTTGGCATTAATAAGAATAATTTTTTTGTGTTGTAATCAGAATGAAGCTTTTGATGATACATGACACATCTACCAAGGATCGCAGATTAAATTCTGGCTCTAAATTCCTTATCATTTTTAGAGTAGTAGTATGTTTATTCCTCAGTATTGTGGTTTTAATGATTCTGACAAAGACCTCTTAATTACCGTAAGCATTTTCTTAGAATGTAATTAAGAGTCTTAAAACCATTGCCTTGCAAAGGGCAAGCTGTGCTGTACCAGCCTAACAGCTTCCTCTGAGCTAAGTGGCTCTAGGACAAGGGGAGAGAAGTTGATGTTTTTCACGTTGACTTCAGCAGGGCCCTTGACACAGTCTCTTACAGTATCCCTACAGCTGAATTGGTGAAACACAGACTAGGTAAGTGAACTATTGAGGTAGATTTATTTTTTTTATATATATATATATTTTTTTTCAATTGAGCTATGTTAAAACCCAGTTCTTCAATATTATTTTCAAGCAGTTTTTATTTTACCTGATGTTTTGTTTTTCTTCTCACTCCAGGGCCATTACTGAGCAGAAACAGAAAATGAAGCGTCTGGGGTCAGATCTGACAAGCGCTCAGAAAGAGATGAAGGCAAAACATAAAGCCTATGAGAATGCAGTTGGGATTCTTAGTCGTCGGCTACAGGAATCCCTCACTGCCAAGGAATCTGCTGAAGCAGAGTTGAGCAAACTAAAAGCACAAATCACTGATGGTGGAAACAACCAGATTGCCCAAGTATGCAAATGTTTTAACATTGTTAGTAGAAAGAGAGGATTGTCTTGTTACCCAGTACAAGTCTTGAAGAATTATGTTGCACTAAAGTAATGAAAATTCCTGGAATATAGAGCTAAATACGAACATGGTGCCAGTGTGCTGGACATTGAGAATTTCCATAATTATATTTGAGAGAGGTGGTTTGGCAGGCTTTGTTTATCATACTTGTACATTCAGATTACCAGTTGTAAACCAAGTTCAAGAGGAGCATCAGCCTTAGTATTAAATTTTCTGATTTAGTATTGAAGTTGGTTTTTTAGAAAGGTTCGGTATCTGGAACTTTGCCAGAATTCTCTCTCTCTTACTGTTTTTGCTCATTGACAGGTAAAAGTTCTTCAGGGTAGCCATAACTTACTAATATATGTTATACCCATGATACAGTTAAAAGAATTAATTTGGTGGGAAGGAAATAATTCCATGGAGCCAAATATGGAATATATTAAAAGCAATAAATGGATGCGGGAAGAAAAGTCTGAGCAAGCCGTGTGTTGAGCACTAGCACATAATTTAATATTTGCTAGAGAAATGAACTTTATTGGTAGAACAGTTACCCCTGAAAATGGGTGTTGTGTTAATAAGGCTTGTGATCCCTTTGTCTTTAGGAAAAGATTCAAGCTCTGGAGACAGAATTACAAGCTGTTAGCAGCAGTAAGTTGATGCTGGAAAAAGAGTTGCAAGAAGTGATTTCACTTACCAGCCAGGAGCTTGAAGAGTACAGAGAGAAAGTGCTGGAACTTGAGGATGAGGTGATTGCTTGAATTTACATTGTACCTGGGGAGATGATCCTAAAAGGCACCTGAGAGGCAGGAAGAAATTTTAGTACCATAATTTTATTCCAACAATGCAGGAAATTAGAATTTTGCATAGGAGAGGTTGTGTCAGTGGCACTTGCTAATGTTGCTGCAGAGGGTTAGCCTTCCTGTTTCATGAACAGTTGTAGTACAGGGTAAAAGAAGAGATGAGAGAAAAGTAGTTCCTATGTCAGATGCTAACGGTATCTGGTCATGAGATGGTGAGTATGCATGAATCATGCACATCTGAAACTAATGGGAGTCATGCTTGCTTAATGACTTTGCAGAGGGCATTGGTTGTAAAGTCATGGGGGGGAAAAAAAATGCAGACTACTCTTTCTCAGTAGTCCATCACATCTTTTCTGCACCTGAAACAGTATTCATACTTTCTAGCAAGCCTTTTAGTCTTCCAAAAGAAAAAAAAGAGTCTAAGTGAACTCATTTTTTGAAGTTTCCTTTCCAAAAACAAAGCAACAACAAAAACCACTGTAAAAGCAATAAAGTTTAATGAGTTTAATAGACAACTTCTTTGCGGTAGTAATCTGACTTTCTTTTTCTTTCTTTTTTGGTGTAGCTTCAGGAATCTAGAGGCTTTAGGAGGAAGATAAAACGTTTAGAAGAAACTAATAAGAAGTTGGCCCTTGAACTGGAACATGAACGAGGAAGACTTAAAGGTCTTAGTCAGTCTAACACCGCTTTGCGGGAGCACAACAATATCCTAGAAACAGCATTAGCAAAGAGAGAGGCAGATTTGGTACAACTGAACCTACAGGTATTCAACTTTTGGGTATGATATATTAAGAGAGAAATTTTAGCTAATATTTCTGATGATAACCAGATGTGGAGGTCTTCAATTGTACAATTATACGCAAAGACTGGTTAAAGAAAACTTTGGTGTATTTTTGGTAGATATGAATCTCATGTATGTTGTGCAACAGAAGTAACACAGGTGATTAAACCTCAGAAATGATCAGAAATGAGATTTTGCACTAGAAAGAGTTGTTTCTTTTGGAGGAAAAAAAAAATCACAGTAAGAAGTATACTTGCAATAGTGAAAATATTGCATGTTTAAGATAGCTGGAACCTAGAAATGGTGTCACTTAAAGATTCACTGAGATAATGTTAATTTTTATGCCAATAGTAACATACTCTTGGGGTAAAGAAGAGAATCCAGACAATGAACAGCCTATAACATGCTACCATTTAACCATAGCTACTTTTAAGGTTGAATGGAAGAGTTATCAATGAACAGGGGAGGGAAGTTTTGCCATCCCTGCGTTGGCTAGTATTTATATATTTCCCATATTGGCATTTCTGGTCTTCCAGTGCACAAAACATGCATTTGTGCTACTAAGTCTCTGGTTTTTGCGATATGATGCAGGTTCAGGCAGTTCTAAAGCGGAAAGAGGAGGAGGATCAGCAAATGAAACAACTTATTCAAGCTTTGCAGGCTTCCTTAGAGAAAGAAAAATCAAAAGTTAAAGACCTTAAGGAGCAGGTAATGGGTCGTCTTTTGTTTTATTTATTTAACAGATGATTTAAATGCAAAGTATTTGAAAAGTAGCTTTAAACAAAAACCATAATACACTGCTTCCTGCAGGGTTTCTGTCAAAATGGCCAGTGTCTGAAAAAGCCGTCGATGTCTCTTCTGTTATGACCTATGTTAAGCATATTTACATGCTGCCAAGAAAGTTTCATTGTAACTTGTAATGCATGGAATGTATCCTGAAGTGATGATGCTTTATCCAGAAATTCACAATGAGAAAACAGTCTATCAAATGTGGTCCTTCCATTATATGACTGTTAACTACCATTAGCATTAATAAGGACAACAACACTAATGATCAGTGTTTTAGACAAAAATAGTAAGTGATAACAGCAAGTTAACACTGCTGCACAACTTCCTTCTTGGTTTATTTTCCATCCCTTTAATCTCTCGTCTAGCTCCCCTTAGAAGTCTACTGCAAAAACAAAACAAGGAAATATTGCCTCTTGTTTCCATGTAGGTAGCAGCAGCCAAAGCAGATGCAGCACATAACCGTCGTCATTACAGAGCTGCTGTTCTTGAGCTCAACGAAATCAAGAAAGAGCTACATGCCAAAGAAGTGCTTGTCCAAGCCCTTCAGGCTGAAGTGGACAAACTGCAGTAAGTATGCTGTAGTAAACATCTGAGTCCTTAGAGCATAGTAAATGAAATAAATCCTCTGAAAAACACATGCATAAATGAATCTTTGGTTTTTGTCATTCTGTATTGGATTATGCTGAAATGTACCCCCGTTGAACGTGACGATAAGATGTGCATTATTTAGGCTCTTGGCAAATATTTGCATTTTCTGTCTCCTCGTAATACAATTGGAGCTGAAATGAATTGTCTTTAGGCTTCATCGTCTGCTATTTTACAGTTTTGACGTGAATTAAATCATTTCATGGTTAGATAGGGTTAGCGCTTTGCATGTATCTTATTCTTCTTTCCTCTTTAACACCCTTGAGGATCTACATAGAGGACAAACTGGATTGTTGAATATATTCCATAATATATTGAAATTCATTGATTTTTTTTTTTTGTTGCGTAGAACATAATTTCTTATTTCATGAACTATCAGACCCACAAGAAAAAGGAAATAAAATAACCCAGTTTTTCCTAAAACAAAAGCAGTTTGTTTTTGATGGTTGTTTTTTTTTCTTTTGTCTTCTTGCTGGAGAGTCTATTTGAAACTGGAATATTACTTTTTTAAAAGTATTTAATGATTTATTAATGCATCTGTCTAATTCAAAATCTTTCTGTGATTTAACTCCTGCTGTGAATATGTTGGCAAAGCTGCCAGTCAAAGCTATAACTAACCAGATTGCATGCACTGTCATGTAACACAGATAATTTTGTGTTATCCTTTATGGTTACATAGCTAACACAGCGAAGTACTCCTTTTAAAGGACAGATTGAAATAACTGCTATGTCCGTTTCTGTTAATTCTGCTCTATAGGGTAGAGGATGAGAAACATTCCCAGGAAGTAGCACAGTTTGAGCAAGAGTTGGCAGAAGCCAGGTCTCAGCTCCAGCTTCTGCAGAAAAAGCTGGATGATAAGCTTAGTGAACAGCCAGGAGTAAATCAAGAGGTAAAAACTAAACACTGTGTTTCTCTTTATTTAGGTGCCTGAGATATATGGCTTCATTTATTCTTCTTTCAGCTTTTTTTTAATTAAAGTTTGTTTTACCAGGTTTTCTTAGAAATGGGGAAGGTTCATAAGACACAGATGATATAATATTTTGTATTTTGTGAATAACTGCTCTTACGGAGAATTCTAAAAATATTTTTTTCGGCAGGTGGAAGACCTCAAGTGGGAAGTAGAACAAAAAGAAAGAGAAATTGAAACGTTTAAGCAACAGCTGGATATGAGTGAACAGCGCAGCCAGAAGGAGTTAGAAGGGATGCAAGTTGTCCTACAGGTATTTGACCTAGCTGGTAAAGATTCTGATGGGCCATACAGGGATAACTAAAGCAGTATTTTATAGTTTAAAAGCAGAATACTTCTACTGATTTTATTAATAAAACACTAGGTGTTTTGCAGGGTCTTTTAACTTTCTCAATTTCATTTTCACTATGCTGTTAGCTTCTTATATTTCCTTGACCTCAGACCACTAACATAGGCTACTGACTCTTTATCCAATTTTTTTTTTTTTTTTTTTTTGCCAGGGCAAATTGTTCTCAGATAGCAGTGGTAGGTGTTGTTTTGGTTTCCAGTTTCCCCTGGAAACTACACAAAATGATGGGAATGTTAGTTGTCTGGAATTTATACACTGTTTCCTTGTACCACGTTAATTCTCTTCTTTTGCCTGTTAGAATATCAAGACTGAGTTGGAAATGGTGAGAGAAGACCTGTCGGTAACTCAGAAGGACAAGTTTATGCTGCAGGCTAAAGTGAGTGAACTGAAGAATAGTATGAAGTCCCTACTGCAGCAGAACCAGCAACTGAAGTTGGACCTGAAGCATGGCAAGATGAAGAAGGTATTTAAGTAGGAAGAATTTATAGTATACTATAATTGGATTACAGTGCTGGAAAATACTCCGCTGCAGGAAACCTGTTGAAAATTCTAACTGAAAGGCCTACCTGGATGCTGACTTACGATTTTTCTGACATTTAAATGGCAAATCCAGGAAGATTTGCTGGTAGAAATAACTTTACTGATCTTGACTTTCACACCTTTTTCTTTAGAGACCTTTGTGTTTAGCACACTATCTTGCATTTACATTTTGATTTATTGCAATAAAGCAAAAAAGGGAGTGCTTAAATAATGGGTCATGGGCAGATACTTAGTTAATACCTTTCTGAAGTTCATGTGCTTATCCTTTTCATACTTTTCCTTTTTATTTTTCATCCTTTCATGTTGTCCAAAGGTAACTATTAACGGTTTCTTTGAGTTTTGTCATTTGCTACTTTTACATAGAAAATGTAGTACTGGTAGATCTCTTGCTCTTTCTTTCCTGAATTCTCTGACTTGGTAAGAGAAAATCTCTTATGAAGCTCCATTTCATTCTCTCAGATGTTGGTCTGAGATATTTCATCCTGCAGGTCCCGGAATATCAAAAAGGATCATACGTAAACGAATTTTTATGAATTGCTTTCTTAACTGTATTGAAAGAACATTATTAAAATTTGTTGTGAAGATCCAAGTCAGTTATTTCAAATCCATACCGTTTCATTTCCTTAGTAGGGCAAGTTCTAGACTAAGTCCTTCTAGATGGTGTTTCTTTACTTATGAGCAAGGCTAATAGATGGCACTAGGTAAGGAACTTTTGCCAAAGTGACCCCTGAGACTTATCATCAATGTGCCTCTAGGTTTTGTTCTACAATACAGATAGGTTCCAGCAGAGTGATGTGAGACTCTTTCTGTGTGGTAAAAGTGAAATTCATGAAAATAGCTTAATTCTACTTCTGGGTCGTCTTTTTTTCTTTAAACAGAGGAAGGAACTGAAAGGAGAGAATAACTCTTCAAATCCTGTGACTCCAGTCAAGATTCCTGATTGTCCAGTCCCTGCTGCCTTGCTGGAAGAACTGTTGAAACCATCGACAGCTATGAGCAAGGAGCCTTTAAAAAATCTGAACAGCTGTCTCCAGCAATTAAAGTATGACCTGTTATTTTAAACCACATTAAATAATCCTAAAAATGTTTCTAAAAAAAACAGTTGCCGGTCCACGGAGAAGCAGTAGACTTGTGAAATGAATTATTTTTCTCTTGCTATGTATAAGGCAGTAAGATGGTTGTCATTGCAAATGTTTGCTTATATGGAAATGACATAGGTAAAGAGGCCTTGGCAGTATACTAGACAAAATATCCATCCGAAAGAGTTCAGTATTGGTGCACAAATAAATACACTGCAGAACAAAACAGAAGCAGCTATTTTTTTCATTGTTCTTGCTGATGGAGAAGCTGATGTTTCTCTCTCTTCGTGGCATCAGCAAGGCTGCTTGTGATAGGAGCCCAGGCAGTGTATTAATTAGCAAAATATGTTTTATAACAAAAACAAAAATATGTTTTATAACACAAAAATGTTTTCATATCTTGCCTTGCAAGACTGCACATTCGACTCTGAGCAGGAAAGCTACAGCTGCAGGAAGGTGGAGATTTCAGGTCAATAGGAGAGCAGGGCTGGATGCATCAGCTCTGTTGATGGAGAATATTTATGGGGAGCAAGAGGTAGCCTGTGATAATGGTACACAATCCTGTACTGCCAGGATTTAGTCTCTTTACTAAAGACTGTGTGATTCAGTCTCTTTACTAAATTGGTATCTGACTACAAGTAGTAACGTGTGTGTGTGTTTGTTTTTCTCTGCTGTTTTCCTCACCTCTACCTTTCATGTTATCTTCTATATCTTCTATATTTGTCTATCTATATCTGTTCATCAAGTCGTAGTCGCTAAGAGCCTTTGCTGAGGAAACAGTGCTACATCATGCCTGACGATGAGCAATGCAGCAAAGGAGATGCTGCATTGTTGGCCTTTATTTTTGGATTAAGTACATCTTGTTTGTTTTGTTCTTAAATTAAAAATGGTTCCTAAGCTTTCTGTAGGCCTGTTTCTCTTGTATGCAGCTATAGCTTTGATAATCCTGGAATAGGTGTCAAGAATAAGGAATGGCTGAAGTTCTTTAGTGAGCCTGTATTTAGCAGTTAGTTTTCTGCATAATAATCTTTTCTTCTTGTTCCCCATATTTTTAAAAGGCAAGAAATGGACAGCCTTCAGCGTCAGATGGAGGAACACACCATTACAGTACATGAATCAATGTCTTCATGGACTCAGATTGAGGGGCAGCTAATGGACCTTACCTCTACCAGTCCTACAACTGCATCAGACCAGCAGGATATTCCTACGGTAGATGAAAAGAAGCAGAATTGTGATGCTAGTGACGAGGAAGCTTTAAAACAATAACCTCCTCAGCAGTTGTCTTTCTTCCTATTGCTTTAAGTGTGTAAACAAATCTTTATCAAAATTATTTATTTATTCCATTTTTAAAATAGTGTTCAGAGTTCTGCTTTTGCCTTCAGAAGCAAAGGGCATGGTTTTGAGAAACTGGCAAAATATTTATCGCAGAATATGGTTTTCCAAGGGTTGGTTTGAAGCCTTTTGATACCTTGAAATAATTTTGCCATGTTGAGGACAATGGTAAATCTGACTCATTTTGGGGTATTAGTAAGAGGTTCAAAAGAGTGTTTAAAATGAGGCCAAGAAGAGCATCTGGTTTCAAGTCGGCATTTATTCAATCTCAGTGAGGAAGCACTATTAATTATGTAACATCTGGGTCTTTTTTTTTTGTTTGTTTCTTGCTTTTTTTATCCCCATAGTTTTTCACTATCTTGGGCTGTATCCCAATAGCATGAAAAGCAAGTCCTGTTCATGTTCAGCCATTAGCGGTTGAGAACTGGATATTCTTATTCAAGCAGCCCCTCTCCTCCCCCTATGCTCTTTCACTCTTGAAATTCAAATCACAGATGTTTGTAATAAAAAATAAAAGAAAAAAGTTTGATTTGAAGCCATCTCTAGTTATGAAGAGGACCTTTGACCTATAGTAAAAGAAACAGGCTGCAAAGACAAGCAATGCAGACCAGTAACTATCGTTGGCAGATTTGCCCAGGATGTTTTCTGAAACGTCACAGTTTTTCTCTTGCAGTTGCAGGCCAGTAGGGAGCTTTGCTTCACCGCACAAACACTTTTTGCACCTTTTTAGTTCATATTTTGAAGTAGACATCCTTGACAAAGGTATGTGTGTAATATATATTTATATATATATAAGAAAAAAAATCATTTTCTGACTTTGAATATCTGTTTTAATATGCTTATGTACTATAAGAGAAGGCTGACATGAGTTTTGTTTTTTTTTTTCCTTGTTACTGTCATTGTTTTAATATCACATTTAAGTTTGCTCTTTTTTGACAATACTGTACATACGGCTTAGGGAAATTAGCCCCCAAAAGCCAGAGCTTTTAGAAATGTAATTATTTTACTTTCAAAGACAAAATTATATTGCCTTTAAAATTACTATTTTTATTAGCTTTATCTTCCATGCCCTCCACAACTCCCCTGCTTTTGGCATCCTCTGTTACCACAAGGTGTCCACTGTGCATGGAAATGTTGGCCCTCTGGCAGCCCTTCTGCAGAGGCGCCTTGACTAGATTATTATTAAAGCAGCCCACCTTAGTGTCTTTCTCCTTTGGTCCCATTGTTTCATGTGGCTCACAGTGCAGTGATAGGCCCATCCTCTCCTTCCCGTTGTAAAATCAGTACAGAAGTACTGCTTCACCTACTGTGCTTGAGCATGAATCAAAATACACGTGACATTATTTGGAAGATTCAGTGGCGACTCCTGTGGTGGCACATTTTTGTCTTTAAAACATACAGAAAGCAGGTCAATTATATCTACTCTAGATTGGATTAAAAATTCTAGTAAGTACAAGCAGATTTAATAGCTGTAAAGAAAAACTTAAAAGGCAACTCTTCCAGTAATTTTTGTCATAATTAGCCATAAAACAACATTCAGACAAGTTATCTTGTCTACTTTCCAGATGCCTAGTTTATGTATTTTTCTAAAGAAGCAGTAACTATTTGAGGAGGCTGATTTTTGGATGAGTTTGGGTATTTGGGGTATGGAGGGAAATGACTGCAATTTGCTTAGCAATAAGGCAAAAAAAAACCTTTTATCCAGAGTTTTAGTTCTTATAATTACCCATGCAAGCTCTTGTCCAGTTGAACACTTTGCATTTGAAGTGACTACGCTGACTGACTTCATGCCTCAGCTACAGAATTGTAACTTATTTTATGGGATTAAAGTCAAGTGATGCTAAAAGTTAAGATTTTTAGAGTTGAGGGAAGAAATGGGTTGGTGTGGTTTTAGCTGCCCATCATATAGATTTACTGAACAGTTTATTTAAAAAAAAAAAAAAAAGTCAAAAACTTTATTGGCTAACCCAGACCTGTTAACATCTGCATGTTACTGCAGTCTACTTTGCAGAGTAAATGGTACTGATTATCTTGCTGCTGTCATTCTTGAAGTTGCCTGTATATTAAGCTCTAAGAAGAAAACAAAAATGTAGTATTGTTAAAGGACAAAGTTAAAGCTATGTAATGAATAATATATTCAGTGCAAAAAAGTTATCAGATGTTCAGGTTTTTAAATAAAAATAACACTTGTGCAGGGTTAATGTTGCTGTTCACTTTGGAAAATGCTTTGCTTACTGTTAAGAATCGTTATATTTTAATCTCTTAAGTTTGGCAGCGGTTGTAGAGATAAAGCTTTTATCTGGGATCAAAGAAGCCAGAATTGTAAGACACATTCATAGCTCTTCAAAATATCTGTCTCTCTTCTCCCATTTGTATCAATAATACATTCTGTTTTCAGTGCAATGCTACGTTGTTTCACTACTCTTTATACAGACATCTGAGCTTATACAGCCAAATAGCTTAGATGCATATTTTCCTTTTAAAGGTGAGGGATTTATTGTGAAGTTCTCAGATTAGATTGCTTTGTTGTCCCACCTATATCTCTCTGACAGTACTTGGACACCAGGTATTTTCATTTTGTATTCATCATGCAGTTTTTTTATAGACACCAACACTATGCCATTTACTTAACGGAAGAACAGAGGATAAGGCTTGAGGGTCTAAATCAGGTGAGGTACTAAGTCAGTTAAGTTACTGGAAAGCCTTCCACGAAGCACTCGGCATATGGCAAAAGCAAGGCTTTTTCTGTGAAATTCATCAACTATGTTCCTTAATTATCAAGAGAAATAAATAGTTGCTGTTTTATTAGAAGGTTCTGTATTTCACCTTGTGGCTGAACATGTTCTCTCTACAAAGCTTCAGGCCTCTTGCTGTCTAGAGAGTAAAACTGCTTACAGGAATAGAAACTGTGTCCCTTCTGCATGTCACAGCACTGCCAAATATATCTGAGGAAAATCCGTGCCTCATTAACATTGGTGTGCTTTTAGAAATTAGAGGAATAATCTTATTTTATTTTTCCTTTTCCAAGCACTGCAATGGAATGTATTTTCTGTGTCTGTTTCTTCAGCAGTTGCTACCTACTAAACCAAGTCTTGTTGATGAAGGAGAAATGTTGCTGTAATGTGAGAATGTTTCCTAAGTGATGAAGGTTGGTAAAGGCTGCAGCATTATTTTTTCAAATACTCTTGCTTTTTTTGAGGACACTTGAGCAACTGCATTTCTTTTTAAAAAAAAAAAAAAAAAACCACCACAACAACAACCTTACAATGAAAAGCTAGTTACAGAGCCTCTAATACTGCTGAATATTGCATTGTTTCATTCTATTGTCTTCCAGATTTCTTAGAAACAGTTGCGCACTGTATCAGGGGATCAGCTGAGCCCCTTATTTGCTCATGCAATGGGAGGTCTGATCCTATACTGTTCATTCAGGCAATATCCCAGCTGAAATCTATGAGAATTTTGCACATATAAGGAGTAGAGTAATATTCAGAAAGTAAGTTCTAGTGCTTATGTTTTAATGGATTATTATTCCTCCATATGTGAGTGAAATGCAATGGCGTGGGTGCTTTAGCTATGACAACGTTCAAGGTGCATAGCGGACAGATAAGTATGCTCAATATAAATTTAACTCAAAGATGACAAATTCACTACTGGTGATGCACAAACCTGTGATGTATGTTTTATTAACTTTGCCAGGCAAGTGTGAATAGTTGCACGTGACTTGCTGTGACCAGAAGCCTGTAACTATTTTCATGGGAAAGCAATCACAGCCCAAAGTAATTACTGATGCTCACTAGCTGTCATCGGACCACACTGGTCTCCCACTGATGCGTATCACTTCAGTCTCGGGGAGCAGAGCAGCCTAATTTCCAATACAGATGCGCAGATTTCTAGAGGAGGGAAGGATGTACTGAATATTGTAAAAGAAATATTGTTATGTTTTATACATGACATTCGGTAATTTAATGTTCGCTTCGGCTGTATTTGTAAAGATAAAAGTTAATTATTTCATGTTTTTGAGTGGATAATCCAGGGGATGGAGGAGTTATACTATGTACAATTAATGATTATGATCATACACAGCATGTTGATTATAAAAATAATGTGCATAGGAATTCCTTTGAAAGTTTTGTGCAATAAACTATTTTTGTTAAAGGGCTGCATGTTTGTTTGTTTACTTTGAAAGAGGAATTGGTACAATTTTGGGTTTGTTTTTTGAGAGTTTTTTTTATATTTAGGATTGTAAACATGCTGTACAGTCACTTAAAAATTACTCTTCATTTTGAATGAATACTTCACTTTGTATTACTTTACACTGTTTTTTAAAAGCATTTAAGATAGTGATTGTACTTGTATTTCCATTATAATTACTTTTTTTCTGAGTTTGATTACTGTTGTTTCCCAACATGTTCATGAGCGTTATCTGTCTTGGCCTGAATTTGCCAACCTCTGAAGTTCAGGTGTACAAAACTGAATGGTGGAAGGACGTCATCTTGACTCTAATTTAGACAACTGCAGTGATAAGGGGGGAAATGACTGTACCTTGTTTGTAGTATTAAACAGTGTAAGTTAGAGATGTCAACTTCTTGAAGGCCTGTCATTTTTGTCTTCTGACCAGGGGGCTGGTTTGCTTGTACTGCAGTACCCGTAAGATAGGTGTGTTATAGGTAATGGGATGACTGCTTTCAATCTGTTAACCGATTTGTTTTCTTACTTCTAACTCAGCAGGGCCTTCCTCTGATTTGGATATGCGCTGGCCTCTCGGACTGAGACTACTGCAGTAATTTTTTGCGTTGGAGTTTTTTAAAGTATTCCCCTCACGGGGCTCAGGTTTTTTGAAATGTAGACATTTTAAATCTTGATAAACGCTTAAGTTGTAAATAGAGAGAAGCTTGAGGAGGAAAAAAGTAGGGTGAAGGTGAAGTACTGCTACTCTTACACTGTCGGTGCAGGAACAGACTGGAACTGGCCTGCCCCTCTGCAGCCCGGGGAGAGCAGGGCAGGGCAGGGCCGAGGCTGCGGAAGGCC